GAAATTAGATGAGAACCTTTCAATCTTTAACCCTTTCCCCGGTATCATATTTCATGTCTTATTCCTAGTGACTGTGTGGTTTACACCTGTACACTTTAATATAAGTGAAATATGAGCATATTCTCAAACCCAGTGACTTGATGGGTTACGCCTTTACACATTATTTGAGTAGAAGTTTGTAGTGTCACATGCATATGGATGGTCAGTCGTATTTATACAATTAACAAGCTTTGATTTAATTGAATCATATTACTTTTAAAAATTGTGCTAAGATGACTTAAAATTAAGCACAAATGTAAAATCTCTCAAACTCTGATCAGGAAGTATGGCAACCACCAAAGGATTCTTTGAAGTAGGCTTGTGATTCAGACTCCTAAATTTTCTTCTGATGCTGATGTAATGGCTAGTTAAGCCAAACGATTAGTGTTGGGGACAAGAAAAATGAGAGGATGTGGTATCTGAATCCATTCCGAGATGCTTGAACTCCATTATTCAAAAACATCCTTTGAATCAAAGAAACAGGATTATGTATTACCCGGGGCCCTCATGGCCTAGGGGTTAAGGTGTTCGCCTCTCATTCAAAGGTCCCGGGTTCGAATCCGGGTAGCGACCGAAAAATTTTCTTCTCTAAAACTGTCTCCATTCACCTCTGTTCTGTCATCTGCTTTCATCTCCATTTTCTGCCCCCACACCCTCACCTCCTCTGGGCTTTTGACTCTTTCTGCAGCCTTTCTACTGCTACTCCTTGACTCCTTTTACCTCTGTCTTCAGCCACACCCCTGATCTTCTGGTAGGAAAAATGTACACTTAGCCTTTTAGGACAAGGGCGAGAAATCTTGGAGGTCCCGGTGCAAGTTGCGCACGTTAAAGATACCTTGGTGGGCTAAAATCGATAAGAATAGGCTTCGGCCACCACCCGGGTAAAATTCAAAATTTTCTACCAATTGAAATTGTTTGGTGTATCCCGCGCGCTCATATGACATTATGCAGTTGTATGGATCGTAAAACACTTACCGTAAAAAAAAATATTAAAAAAACCTATTACCCCCGGGGCGGAGCCACTGACTGTGTCTTTAGGCCATTCCCAAAGGGGGAAACATTAACATCTTGAGTTCTTATGCACAGTAGAATTGTAATGTAAATGGGCTGATTCGATCCATGTCATACTCCTAACTGTGCCTGAACTGCAAAAGGGAACTGCTGCTTTTTCTTTCCTAATCCTTACTATCATCATTTTCCTCTACTTCCTTTGTATGCTGTTGAAGCCAGAGAGGTGAGCAGAGTAAGTCTCATTCCCTGTTAGGGCTTCCCTGTTGACATCCACCCCTTGGCGCTCATATGACCTTATGCAGTTGCGAGCGCCGTAAAACTAAAACTAACTACATTGAAGCAGGCATTCCCTTTTGTGCTATTTTGGATTTTGTTTTAGTGTTCACAGAATGGAGATCGACCAACGCCTACACGGTGCTGAAGTTGAATAGAATTGAAATAGCTCGCAGTATTTTTTAGATTTTGAATCCAAATGTATATATGGTTCAACTAAAAGATAATGAAGTGCAAAATGATGATAAAAATGTCGATCTGACATTTGAAATGAAAAGACGAGATGGATCACCTGTCGACAAAAGCTGTAGATCTAAGAACAATGATTCATTGAAGGGAATTTAAATACCCACCCAGTCCTTGGCTCAAAAGGTTACAGATCTTGACCTTAAAAAACGTTGTCCAGCTGAAATTCTTCTTGATCTACTTCAAACAAGTAACAAAAGAATCAAAACTGTAACAGTAATAGACATGCCTACGACCAGTGCATCTGTATAATATGATGACATCAATGATAATTCAATAACTCAAATTTTGTTACTGGCAATAATAAACCTTGTGTAAATTCAGTTTTCTTTGGCTCTGTTTTTTTGTACAATACAGTTGAACCTGCTCTAATGGCCACCTGTATAACAGAATCACTTATACAAACAGCCACTCCCCATTTCTTCCCTTGCATATTCTTTTACATTACAATTACACTGTAGGTAGACCACCTGTCTTTGACGAGCATGCTTGCCCTCAACAATAGGTGGCCGTCTTAAACAATTTGGACTGTAATTTTATAACAGAAATGGCAACACATTCACAAAATCAGTAGAAATATTATGCTTGGATAATTAGGAAAAAACATTTTGGCCCCTAAAATGTTTTATTTTTATCAACCTCTGTAGAACATGAACAGCAATAAGAAACAGTAAAAAAAATCTTTATGTTTTGTAAAGATCAATATCTCAGGCTGAAAATGGCTAATTTTCATTATTCTAACTTAAGTAGTTACAGAGCAGATAATTTTTTAAGTTGAGTAAAAATCCTCAGCAGGCAATATCCCAATTTTAGTCAAGACTCATTATTATATTATTATATGATGATCATGAGGGTCATGTTGAGGATCTGGTGGAGTTTGAATAGAATAGTAAAAATTAAACCTTTAATGTGTTATATTAAATGTGGTCACTGGGTGGATTACACCCAGTCACTGAGGAAAGGGGTAAATGTATTTCAAACTCCTTTTGCCACTACTTGATAAAGAATGTTTGAATATTTAATACTTTAAACTAATTACATGCTTTTTGGTTCTTCAAGGTCGCATGGGCAATTTGACTCAGGCTTTGAAACTGATCATGGAGCGCTTAGGAGATGTGAACCATGCCATTCTTTTCTGTATGGAGCAAGCAGATGAGGAATTGTGGGAAAACCTCATAGACTATGCCATGAATAAGCCACGTGAGTTTGTCAGCCTTAATTTTGGATAAGTAATTTTTCTGTTTCCCCACCAAGTCTCTAATTTCTCATACAAATGTCTCCTTGGTGTTGTTTCAGTTCCCATCCATGCATTTCATCAATGTCCTCGAGTGTTCATTAATCAATATTTAAATGGATTGCTGTCTTTTTTCTTCTTGTTAGTTCTTTTTATGTAAAAGTGCTTATTTATAGCCAATTTATACAATTCACTTGTAAGATGCTAAATATCTATGCTATGTTTTCTTCCACATTGAGGCTTGCTTCATGTTGGTGACTGATTTTGTGGGGAGTTTTCTGTTTTAAAAAATGCTTTTCATCATGTTGGTGACCCTCAGAGTTCATCACAGCATTATTGCAAAACGTCGGAGCTCACATTGACCCAATCAAAGTTATAAGCCGTATCCAGAAAGGTATGGAGATCCCAGGATTGAGGGACTCATTGGTCAAGATCCTACAGGACTACAATCTACAGGTACACAACTTATCACATACTGGAATGTTATGAGTAAATGTATGAAGGCTACTCATGACATTTGGGGTGTGACCACATCCCACTGGGACCGGGTCTCCACAGCATGACGACACCTTCTTCTTCCCAAACTTATCAAAAACTTTCTCAGCACAAGGGGATTCTATCTGAATTGACTGTCGTGATTTTACCATCCTTATCATGAAACCAGAACGGGTCAATCACACCCCTGTAGCTCAACGCTTAAGATGTGGAATTTTGCATTTTACCCAATTTTGGTTGAAATTTTTAAAACTTAATATTTCTCAAAAGTGTTGATTGATTTACCTTTTATTTACAAAGTTGACGTCCCCCTAGTTGAATTTTATTTACTTAAAGTTTTGATAAAAATTACAGTGGAGATAACAAGTTATTGCCACTTAAGTTGGTCCTCTTTTTTTTAGACACCCTTTTATATATACATATATATATATGGGGAATTCTCCTGAAAACTTGAACTTGCGCATACCCCTTACTGCAAACACCATAAATATCTTTCTTTATATCAAATTATTGTTAAGATGAGCTAAGCCATTGGGGAATAGGTTGCCGAACCTGGACTAGGCAGAAAATATCTAATGAAATGATATGCTGAAACAGTGTGGGGTTTTTTGGTTAAAAAATCAGCATTTTTTAGGTATGAAAACGTAACATTCACCAGAGACAGTTTTCATCCGAAGATTTTTCTAAGAACTGCCTGCTTATCATTTTCGTAATTATGTGTAAATACTGATCTTAAGGGGAGGTGGCTAATGAAAATGCCAAAACTCAGTTCCAACCATTTTGTAGCCACTTTGTATGCATCAATGGATACATACACTTTAAAAAAGAGGTTTTGTGAAATAAAAAATTCATTTTTTATTTTTTTGTTCTTGTGGCGGCAAAAAATGGCGCTGATTCAGCAAAATTTCTTTATATTTTATAAACAGTGTTTCTACAAAACCAATAAAGATAAAAGCTTCATACTTGGTATACTTGGTATATATGCTATAAATTGCTTGCTTCTCCTCCTTACAGAATCAGATTTCAAATATCTATCATACGTTTTCAAAATTTTACCCTCACTTTGACCAATGTTCAGAATTCCATATTAGACGATGCTGAAACACAAAAATGCCAAATAACTCAAAACAGAATCAATATTCAGGAAAAAATCTCTTGTAAGGAGGAGGGCACTTATCTTGGGAATAATGTGTGAAAATTTCAATGAAATCTGACTGTTAGTTATTGAGATACACTTTCTATAAAGTTACCAGTTAGTCGAAAATGCAATTTCGAGAAAAATGCAAACAAAGTTTTCGAAACATTGTGCAATCACAAACATCTCAGTTTTCACTAAAATCTAACATTATTCAGCAACATACATCACGTTGACACAGCGCAGGCCATTTAAAAAGCTTTTTTGACAAGTTTTTACATCAATTCCATGCCCCCCCCCCCCCCCAACTGTCCTCTCATAATTGAATCTCCGCCCCAAGAATGTAAATTCTCATTTGTCTTTCAGTTTCTGTTCTTAAATGGGAGAAGAAGCAAAAATACCTATGTAAGGTAATAGGACATCCAAGGGCTTGTGTGAAAATTTCAACCAACTCTGACTGTAACTTTGTGAGATCTAATCAAAATAGTGCAGCAGATTTGGCAGAAAAGTCATCATTCCGAGAAAAACGAGAATAAAGATTTTGCATGCTGACATGCCCGTCTAAATTTATATGTTAATGTTGCCATACTGAATTGTTTAGGTAAATTGAGTTTGTTGTTAGTCTTTTCCACATTAAAAAATCTTTAAATGATTTGGCAGGTGACTGCCTTTCTTAGAATTAGAAGAGTCGAGATTTTGTCGAGCCCCCCCCAAAAAAGCTGCCACCTCCCCTTCATTTTCTTCCCATGTGTTTTGGTTTTGCAATGGTGGAATCTAAGACTAAGCAACTAAGAAAGGCACACAGTAAGCTGGCACTACATGATACTATCTAGATCTGTATATTTTCTCAATTTATTTTATCCTATAATATATATTTCTGCACAGTCACTGCTTTCAATCATGTTGAAGGGGTTAACTGGCTTTGGGAACACTGGTCTCCGATTTTAAAAAACCCAATAATAATAAAGTAAAAAAATTGTTTTAAATAACACTAGGCCTTAGAGATTTCTATAGCTAGATCTACGCTAAACAGACTTGTTCACTGCGAACAGCCGGAGAGGCTAGGGAAGCCATCATAACAAATTTATCCTAGATCTAGATCTAGGTCTAGATCTAGATTCTAATTCTATAACTTTGTCGATCGAGCGCAACGTAGATCTAGATTTGTAGATCTATACTTTGAATACCCCAGCCACATAATCATGGAAAGTACTGAAGGCTATTATGTATTATTATACGTATAATCTCAACAGTTTAGATCCTGGGTTAGCTCACTCAAAACAACTAAGACTAAGACATCGAATCGAATCACGATCAGATAGACAGACGAGAGAAGAAGAAAATAAATAAGAAGGAGCATGTGTTCGGTAGGCCTTGTCGGGCCGAAATACTACAAAGAATTGCAAATGGAGATGATAACAATAATTATTCAGCCTGTAAACGAGATTTATTAGCGTTGAAATCGGCAACACGATAGAAAACTCTTTGAAATGCAGCGAAAACGTTCACGTTCTGTCTTGCGGCACGCAGTGTAAACAATGGCCCGCGAGGGAATCCCCTTCGTTGCTACCGGCTCGGCGAATGAAAATTCACGGTCCGGTCACGTGACGGAAGTGGCACACCGGTATTTGGTACGGGGTCTTCAAACATACCTAAATGGGTCCCCAGAGTAGTTCCGTATGAAAACGAAAGTGCAATAATCGAATAGTTCTTATCACGGCCTTTCCAACGATACCAAACTTGATTACCTTGCAGCCACGGAAAGTGTTGTTGTCAAGGGGTAAAGTTAAGCATTTCTTGACGTTTTGTTTGAATTTTTTGTCCCCCCTACCGCTTTCAAATACATTTTTATATATATTAGAGGTATCTTTAGGTTTTGGGACCTTCACAAACGGATTCTTGACATATTTTTCTGTAAGAATATCCAAATACTCGAAGTTCCATTTTTTTTTGCAACTACCCGATTTTCTAGGGGATCGAGACCCGCGGATCCCCTTAAGTAGAACTTTCAGGGTAACCGACAAATATATGCTTAATACGGCCCATTTGTACACACAAAAGACATAAAATTTGGTCTTAAACGCTACTCGTCTCGTCCGAAAAATGATAAAAAATAGTAACCCTATCTTCAGTTCTATCGATCGTTTAAAAAGTGTAATTTTTTTTATTGTAGAACTAGAAATGCGATCACTTTAGTCATTTCATCAACCAAGAACAAAATTTCTACACCGATTACGAAATTTTGGCGGTAACTAGTAGCGTCTTTGAATTTTTGTCACGTTTTAACGATTAAGATCTGCATGTTTACTTCTGCCGGAAGTAGCTCGAAATTTTAGTGCGGTGTTTTTATGTCAAGTACACTGGTTTCCAATCAACTTGGCTTTCATCTATTCCCCGGCAAGACAACGGTGTCTATAGAAAGTGAATATGAATGACTTCGTTACGCAATTTCTAGCGGTTTAACTATTAAGATGTAAGTAATGATGAAGACTTGAATTGTTTAAAAATTTGCTTTCTTTTTTATATGACTGCAAAATGTGTGATTCATTGATGAAATCTTAAAGTCCCTCAAGGAAATGGATGAGTTTGGGTCCTGCAAAAACAAGGATTGTTGGTTTTCATAGTGTTTGTTGTACCGAAACGGAAATTGGACAAAGAGCTTGATTTCTTCATTTTAACGATTTAGCCTTGGTCTTTGTGTTATAATCTTTGTAAAAATGAATAGCTTCTTTAAGAATTTCATTTCAAGGATTTCATGCGTTGATGCCACATATTTCTAGCTTTGGGGATGGCAGTTGGGGCAATTAAAGGTGGCAACTTGTTATCGTTGTCTGAAACATTGCAAATATAAGGATAAGGCTGCTTGGCTTGGTGTTTCAAATATTTAACATCGAACATCAGTAATTTGACTTTGTAGACAGACTCCGTCAATGGAATGCAAAGTATATTGATATGTCCTATTCTACGTAATGTCACACTGTAGGCTTGGTGGTGACAAGGCGTAAACACAGGGAACAAGGCGAAGAGGGAGAAGCAAGTGATGTAACGTTGTGTGGGATTTTCTATG